GCTATTTTGACTGAGCTTCATTGCTTGGGTGTTACCGCTGGGTCGATTCGGGCACGGTACTCTGGTTCGGGACAGGCTCGGTATTATTACAACGCATTGTTGCACAGTACGGCACTCGACACCGAGCGGTATGATAATAGTGCAGGCGGCGGTAAATCAAAGCGTTTCTTCGGAACCGGCATTGGAACGCTTGCTGAAACGGAACTGGTATGAAACTATTATCGCGATGGCATTGGCATGGTCGCTAATGCAGATTGGCACAACTATTGGATCGGCATCGACACGAACTGGAACAGTATTAGACTATTCGACATTGGTATTTGATGGACCGGCGCTCTGATTTGTTTCAGGGCTGCTGCAGTTCACAGTTCGCTGCACTGATAGTGGCACAACACTGAAACAGAGTACTACAGCCTGCGCTCTTCCTTTGGGGGTTCGGGGACCGTAAAAGGTGCAGGCACGTTGCCTGTGACGTGGCACAGATTCTGGCTGCGATTCAGTACTTCGACCTTGAAATGGGCACCAGTTGACTACTTACACAGTCCTGGGACGGCAGGCCATGGCCCTGACCTGCTGGGTTTAGAAATGGGTCACTGGGTTGCAGTTGGAATAACTACCGCAATGGACCAGGGCGGCATAACTGGGTCTGGATTGACGAGGGCAAGAAATTCTCTGGGCCTGGTGCATTGGGGCTGTAGGGACTGCGACGCGGACCGAGTGGAACCAGGGCAGTTGGCCACAGGCAGTGGATATAGGAGAAGCAAACGGGTACCAAAGGTTTTTTTTTTAGGGAGATGCGTGTCAGACGTACCCAACATCCCGGAAGTTGACCGGAGAGGAGCAAGCAATGAGAGCAAGCACGGGGAAGAGGCGACAGCGCGGAGGCGGTAACTCCGCGCGTGAAGGGAGTGACGTGACGGAAGGAAGCATGCACGGTGTGCTCAGCCCACCACTGCCAACGCTGGGTGGAGTCCCCAGACACGGACGGTGAACGGCGGCGGGTGTCCGCTCTTGGACGCAGCCATTAGCGGCACCTGTGACAGCGTGATCATTGTCCCTTTCAACCACGCGTCAGACGACGTTTCTCAACTACAGATCAGGTAACTTAAGTGGACTGGTAACGGTTGACAGTTCGCAGAGGGATTGAAAGAGAGAGATTGGAATAAGGACTGCGGGCAGGGAGAGTCAACGAGAGAAGGGGACTGCTCAGTGGGAGTGAGAGACTGTTTGCGAGAGGGAGTGACTGTAAAGAGAGAGAGAGAGAAGAACTGAAGGGTGTGAGAAAGAGGGACTGAAGTGTGAGAGGGAGTGACTGTGCAGAGACAAAAAGTGCACAGACTGAGAGAGAGAGTGCATAGATTGGGGGATGGTGAGGAAGAGAGAGAGTGCACAGACTGGGGGATGGTGCGGGAGAGAGAGAGTGCGTAGACTGAGGGAAAGTGAAAGATAGAGAAAGGGAGAGAAAGGGAGAGAGAGAGAGAGAGAGAGAGAGAGAGAGAGAGAGAGAGAGAGAGAGAAAGAGAGAGAGAGAGACAGAGTGCACAGACTGGGGGATGGTGAGGGAGAGAGAGAGTGCGTAGACTGAGGGAAAGTGAGAGATAGAGGAAGGGAGAGAGAGAGAGAGAGAGAGAGAGAGAGTTAATAAGAGAGGGCAACGAGACTGATAGAGCAGGATCCCGAAGGACGATGGTGAGTTGTTAGAAGACCTGGGAGATCTCCTCGCTGCTCTAGCCTTGCGAGCTGGCCAGCAAATCATCTTAGAGGAAGCATCATTTTCGAGAAATTGCTGAAAAGAGCCTTGATTGGCTCGCTGCTCAACTCATTTTCAGAAAAGTATCATTTTTGAAAAAATATTAAAGAGAGCCTTAATTGGCTAGCTGCTCAAATCATTTCCAGGGAACTATCATTTTCGAAAAATCGCTGAAAAGAACCTTGATTGGCTCACTGCTCTGAGCCTTGCGAACTAGCCAGCAGATCATTTTCGAGGAATATCATTTTTGAGAAAATTATTGAAAA